TGAAATGACCTAGGCTGATGGAGGCTTCCTAAGCATCTGAGAAAATAGTTCACTGTGAATGACTGATCCTTGATCTGCTGAGAAAGCTGCTGACAGTCTGCTCTCAGTCACCTAGATTTATAACTTTATATTTTTTATTTCTACATTCCTATTTCTGGAATCTACATTTTTATTTTCTTATTCTTGGACTCTTCATTTACTACAATGGGCCTTACCCTCTCTGAGGATTGGATTGGAGGATGGGGGATAAGTGGAGGGAATAGGAGGAGGGGAGGGAATGGGAACTAGGATTGGTATGTAAAATGAAAAGTTTGTTTTCTTTTTAAAAAAAAAAAAATAAAAACCAGGTGGTGGTAGAGCACGCCTTTAATCCCAGCATTTGGGAGGCAAAGGCAGGTGGATCTCTGTGAGTTCGAGGCCAGCCTAGTCTACAAGAGCTAGTTCCAGGACAGGCTCCAAAGCTACAGAGAAACCCTGTCTCAAAAACTAAATTAAATAAATAAATAAATAAAGCAAATTTTAAGATAGATAAAACTTTAAATAATGTAAGAGCTAGCTAGGAATATGCCTAGGCCATTGGCCAAATAGTTTTAACTTAAAAAAGATTTTATTTATCTATTATGTATGCAGCGTTTTGCCTGCAAGTCTACCTGCGTGCCAGAGAGGGCACCAGATCTCATTATGAATGGTTGTGAGCCACCTTACGGTTGCTGGGAATTAAACTCAGGACCCCTGGAAGAGCAGCCAGTGCTGCTCTTAACCGCTAAGCCATTTCTCTGGCCCATGGGCTGATAGCAAGTTTTAATTGTGTGTGTGTGTAGTGTGAGGGGATGTGTGGGTTTGTGACCTGGAGACACAGGAGCTTGGGAGACCATGGTTGCTGGGAACCGAACTCCAGTCCTCTTGAGCCGGGCGGTGGTGGCACACGTCTTTAATCCCAGCACTGGGGAGGCAGAGGCAGGTGGATCTCTGCGAATTCAAAGCCAGACTGGTCTACAGAGTGAGTTCCAGGACTGGCTTCATAGCTACTGAGAAACCCTGTCTTGGAAAACAAAATCCTTGGGCTGGAGAGATGGCTCAATGGTTAAGATCACTATCTGTTCTTCCAGAGTACCCGGGTTCAGTTCTTAGCAACTACATGTCAGGTCACAACTGTCTGTAACTTCGGTTCTAGGGGACCCAATACCCCCACTCAGACATGCATGCAGGTAAAATACCAATGCATATAAAATAAAAATAAATAAATTATTTGACAAGCAGTGGTACATACCTTTAATCCAGCACTTGAAAGTTTGAGGCCAGCCTGGGCTACAGAGCAAGTTCCAAGACAGGCTCCAAAGCTGCACAGTAAAACCCTGTTTCGTGCCGGGCGGTGGTGATGCACACCTTTAATCCCAGCACTCAGGAGGCAGAGACAGGCGGATCTCTGTGAGTTCGATGCCAGCCTGGTCTACAAGAGCTAGTTCCAGGACAGGAACCAAAAAGCTACGGAGAAACCCTGTCTCGAAAATCAAAATAGATAAATAAAACCCTGTTTTGAAAAACCAAAAAATAAAGTCCTCTTCAGCTGCAAATGTTTTATCTGCAGAGCCGTCTCACCAGTCCCTTCTCAAATGTTTTTTGTTTGTTTGGTTTGTTTTTTTGAGACAGGGTTTCTCTGTAGTTTTTGGAACAGGTCCTGGAACTTGCCCTGTAGACCAGGACTAAGATTAAAGGCATGTGCCGCTGCCACACCGCAATTTGTGTTTATTTTTACTTTTAAAAAAAAATAATTTGTTTTATTTTATGTGCATTAGACTGCATGTATGTCTGTGAGGATGTCAGGTCTTGGAGTTACAGGTGGTTGTGAGCTGTCAGCTCTTAACCACTGAGCTATCTCTCCAGCCCCTAATTTTAGTTTCTGAGGTTGTCTTTGAAGATGGCGGTGGCCTCGGTCACCAGGATCCTCACCAGTGCACCACCGACCGGGCACAAATGTTCCCAATTTACCGTTCAGAAAACGGAGGCTCAGGGAAATGGTTTGAGCAGTCAATTACACCCCACGTTGAACTTTGTCAGGGCCTCTGTAACAGGCAACATTGTAGGGCACTGGGGTCAGCACTTGGGTTTCGAGGCATGGTTACAAGGAAGAAGTCTTTGTCCTGGACTTGGGGCAGACCTTAAAGAGGAGGCGTCTGTGCTGTATCTGCTGAAGCCGCCAGGGGGCGTCAGGGAGGCTGGGTCGCCTGGTGTAGCGGTAATTGGCCAGCAGAGGGCGGGCGTCCCTCGCGTAACTCCCAGCCGCGTCCTCATCAATGAGGACGCCTGTCATTCCGGCGCTCGTCCCAGGCCCGGCTGGGTTACTTAGCCAGATCCTGCCTTGAACAGGGGAAGGGTCCCCTGGTGCCTCGCCCTGGGTGGGGCCAGACCTCTGGGCAGCTCGCCCACTGCGGGCCGCCTGCCTCGGGGCTGGCACACAGCTGCGTGGAGGCCTTGGCCGCTGTCCCTTTTTTCCAAGAAGGGTGAGGAGTTTGTGGGAAGCAGCGGGGGGGGGGGGGGGGGGGGGGATTATTTATAGAGGACGCAGGAAATCCCCAAAGAGTCAGGGCCTCACCCAGCGGAGGCGGTTACGACCGGGCACTCGGCCCCTTTCCGACAGGGAGCACTGCATGGGGCCTGGGAGCCAGGATGAGACTGGGGCCCCAAGGGACAAGGACCATACCTTGGTAATCAAGGAAGGCTGCTTGGAGGAGGGGTCAGACAAAGTTGAGCCAAGCCCCCGCCCCTTGTTCGTTGGTGTGTGTGGCGCAGTCCAAACTTGTGGGCGTGCGGATCCAAGGGGACATATAGGTCAGATGAGGGCACAGGGGGCGACCCTACAGGTCAGGTCACAGTGCTCAGCATCCTCCCGTCTCTCCCCACAGCACTGGGTTTAAGGTAAATCGTCACCTTAGCCTTTATGTGGGTTCTGTAACTGAGTCTTAGTTCCTCCAGCTTGAGCAACAAGTACTCTCACCCACGGAGACATCACCCTCCCATGCATGGTTTGACAATTCATTTTGCAACTCCTTGTCTTGAACAGAGAAGTTTCTCAGGCAAGGAAAAACAGTGCCCGGCAGTGCACCTGCAGCGCCAACATTGTGGAGGCTGAGGCAGAAGGCTTGCTATGAAAGGTCAGCTCCACAGATGTTGGGACAGTTTTTTTAAAAAAAAAATGGGGCTAGCCAGGTGTGGGGGTACATGTCTTCCACCCCAACACTTGGTGGGGCAGAGGCAGGAGGATCTCTGAGTTGGAGGCTAGCCTGGACTACAGAGTGAGACTCTAGTCTCAAACATAAACCAAGCAAATGAGCCTAATCAGAAATTCAGAGAGCAGCTAGGGCTGCACAGGTCTGGGCTGACAAGGGGGCTAAGAAACTAGACCTTGTTTGTGGTGGGGAGCCATGGGCGGGGGTGTGAGAAAAACCGACTCCAGGATGGAAAGACGGCTCTGGGCCAGTACAGGACCCTACTGAGGCAACGGCTGGCAACAGGCCTTTTCTTGTCTTTAGTAGTCAGGTCAGGGAGGACTGTGTACCCCAGCGCTTTCCACTCGAGCCCCAGCGCTTTCCACTCGAGGGAACTGTTGCTGTGGTTGGTAGAGGTGGGGTTTCTGTGTGGCCTGGGCTGGCCAGGAACTCCTGGGCTCAAGCTCCCTTCTGCCTCGGTCTCCCGAGCAGCTGAGGTTACAGATCTGGGACATGGTGTCTGGGGAGAGGAAACAGGCCGAGTTGGAGTGAGATTCGCACCCAGGACTGTGAATTTCAGCTCTTAATCAGGCTGTGGTCACCAGGTCGGCTTCATCACAGGACGCAGGCTCAGGGCCAGGGACATCCCCAGTTCCTTGGGGCCTCCAGCCCGGCTGTCCCGGCGGCCTCCCAGGCTGACCCTTGTGGCCCGGTTGGCCAGGACCCAGCTGAGTGTTTCCTGCAGTGACAGGCTCTCGCCCGTGTTTCCGGATCCAGGAAATATCGCAGCTTTGTCCCCAAGGAGCAGTGGCAGAGTGTGGCATTGCCGGCCGCGTGATTCATACCCTGCTCCCGCCCAGGCCAGTGCTGGGGGAGCAGCCTTCTCCTGGGCACGTCTTACCTGCTTTCCATCGACGGCTCCTGCTTGTGGCCCGATTCTTAGGAACAAGCTTCAGAGTTAGGGGGCTGCTGTCACACCTCAGTCCCCTGCCTCAGCCCCGCACCCCACCCGCGCTGACATGCCTGCTCCACTGTCAGGGTTAGTGGGCTGTTCTCACACCTCAGTCCCCTGCCTCAGCCCCGCACCCCACCCGCACTGCACACCGGTGCTGACATGCCTGCTCCACCATGCTAGGCTGAATTCTATTACCTCTTGGGCTGGTTTCCACAGGGGCCACTCTCTGCTTTGCGTCTGACTCCTTACAAACTCTGCACCAGCAGTAGGCAGGATAGCTTTCATTTTAATTTATTTTTGATAATTGGAAGAGTCTCTTGTAGCCCAGGCTGGCCTTGAAATCCTGACCCTCCTGCCTCGGCCTCCTCGGTGCCGGCACAGCAAATGTGCACCACCACACCCAGTTCCTGTGGAGATGGGGCCCGGGGTGCCACCCATGCCGCGCAGGACGGGGCTGGCCATGGATTTAAAGATGTACTGTTCTACTCTATATGCTTCTGTGCTGCCCTGGGAGGCCAGGAGCCGGTGCTGATCCCCTGGATGCAGGTGTGAGCTGCCATGTGGGTGCGGGAACCAACTTCGGGTCCTCTCCAAGAACAGCCAGTGCCCTAAACTGCTGAGCCATCTCTGTAGCCCCCAATTCCAATTGGCACTCACCAATCACCCCTCAGGAGGCAGAGGTAGAGGAATACAGTGAGACCCAGTCTACAGGAAGAAAAAGAATAGAGACAGCCTTCAAAGAACTCTGATATTTATTATGTGCCACTAATGACTTTAAGGGATACAAGAAGGGCAGAGTGTGAGGAAGCATCCCTCCAGGCTCTGGGATCCACGGGGGGGGGGGGGGGGGGGGGGGGCCTCGCCTGTGGGGAGGAGAGGAGCCTGGAAAAGGGTTTAAAATCTAACGAAGTTTTGTGTTTCTTGGGACCTTGAAGCCCTCCAGGGGAGGCCTGGAAACTCTCCAGGAGGACCTGGAAACAGCCGGGGCCTTTAAGGGGAGCTTGGAAAGTCCCAAGGGAGCTGAGACTAGGCCTCCTGTTCTCACCTCCTGGGTCAGCTGAGCTGTGGGCGAATGGGTGCCATTCTGGTCACCCCACAGCTGTGTGTGCCTTAAACCCAGTGTCAGGGGATGGTGCGGAGCAGCGGGCAGTGGGGGGGGGGGGGGCGGCATGGGGATGGAGGTTGCTGCCCATGGGGGTACAGCCGGTGTCCAGTGCTGTGGGCATCTGGCTGCTCCCATCCACAGGTGGGCAAGTCGCATGCCCAGGGTCCCGCGACAGCTGCTTCCTCAGCCACTGGGGAAGGAAGAGGCAGAAAGCACAGCAATCAACAGAGGCCGAGGAGCCTGGCTTCAGACTCACAGCCCTCCTGCCTCAGCGTCTCCTTTCTTTCCTTTCTTTAGTCATTCCCAGAAGTCTGAATGAGCCTGCCCCACACACCCTCCATGACCCTCAGGACTAGCAGAGTCCACAGCTTCAGAAGCTGACACCAAGGCCCCATCCCTCCAGCCCGGGACAGCCCCACCCAAGTGCCAACAATTCCGAAAGGCTTCCGTGCCCCCCGAAACATCTCTGTCTAGAATGCCCCCCCTCCCAGCCTGGTAGAGGAGCTCGGTGGGGTCAGAGGTGGAGCTGAGGCATTTCCTGGTGGGGAGGGGGAGTCTGCAGCTAAGTCTGGCTTCCTCTCCCCCTCCCTTCCTTCCCCAATTCTTCCCTGGGGCCCCTAGGTCGGGCTGGCTCTGGGTCCCCTCTCTGGCTCCAGCTGTGATCCCAGCTAGGACTGCCTGGTGACCTCTGTTCTTGTCCCGGTCACTTCCCCCAAATCAACCAGAGTGAACCAGTGATTCTCCACGTAGACCAAGCCCTGGCACTGCTCATAGACTCTGGGGACCCCCCCACAAAGTCCTTGCCACAGCCATGAGGAGGATTGTTCTTCCCTTGGTCACTCCTTCCCAGGCACCCTACCCAGAATCCCCAGGCTCCTCCCTTGTCTAGGTTCCTGGTTAAAAGTCCCTTGCTCAATGAGCAGCCCATGTGAAAGATCCCAGCAGAGTTTGTGTCTCCCACAAAGGGCTCAGCGGGCAGAGGACAGTCTGAATTGGGTCCCCTGGAGCCACAGGGTGGAAGGAGGGAGCGACTCCCCACACATGTTCTGACGTGTTCACATGCGCCATCAGTCCCAGTTTAAAAACTGTGAGAAACCTCACAAGATACATCCGTTTCCGCACGCCAAATACTTGGCTAGCACATTCAGGTCTGTCTTCCTTTGTTTTTGAGACAGGGACTCACTGGGTAGATCAGGCTGGCCTCAAACACCCAGAGATCCCTCTGCCTCTGTGGTACCGAGAAGACAGACACAGTTCATCACACTTGTCCAAATAAGTCTCCAGGCATGGGTTGTTCCAGAGTGAATGTCTCAGCAGGACAACTGGGGGGGGGGGGGAGTCAGAAGTGTGGGCCATGTGGGACCCCCAGCCCACTCCTGCAGCCTGCCTCAGCTGACCTCACATGGTCCCCTCCTGCCTCTGAGCTCCTCCAGGCTGTGAGACCTAAGTATCAGGACTCACACAGGCAGAGAAAGCCGGAAGATCAGGAGTTCATGGCCAGCCTCAGCTACACGGGGAGTTTGAGGCCAGCCTGGGCTACATGAGACCTTTTCTCAACACTCCCCCTCAAAGAAAACAAAAAAATAATCCCAAACCAACTTTAGAAATGGAACCTTCATGCACAGAGAAGAATTGGCTCGAATAAACAGACCAGAAGCATGGTAGGTCAGTGAACCAGTTCAGATGCTTGCCATCGAGCCCTGCCACGATGATGAACTGAGTTCAATCAGTTCAATCCCAGAGACCCACAGGGTAGAGGAGACAACTGATCCCTACAGGGTTCTGGCATGCTGTAGCTCTTGCAGTCTCAGACAAATAAATCAGGTGGCAATTTTTAAACAAAAGGAGGAACAATTGTTTGATATTTGCAACCATGTTTGCATTCCCCTCCCTGCCCCCAACTCCTGTCTGCAGTGTAAACAGAGTAGGCGTAGGAGCTCAGTGGAGAAGAAACCTTACTTGCTAGCAAGCTGACCTGAGTTGGAATCCTCAGGGGTCCAGTTAAAATGCTGGGTGCTGGCTAGGTGTAGTGGCGCACACCTTTAACCCCAGGCCTTGAAGGCAGAGGCAGGAGGATCTCTGTAAATTTGAGGTCAACCTGGGCTATTCAATGAGACCTTGCCTCAAAGAAACAAAAATAAATAAATAAAACTAACAACAAAAATCTGGGTGTCTCTGCTCCAGCAGCTGTGACCCAAATACCTGGGTCACAGGAGGCTGGGGCTGGGGCCCCGAGTAGCTCCAAGTTCAGTGAGAGTCCTGGTTTCAAGGGCATTAGCTGGACAATGGCAGAAGACACCGTTGTCTTCCTCTGGTTTCCACAGGGGTCTACACAGGTCATACACCATACACAAGGACATTTGGATGTTGAAATATTTTTCTTTTAAAAGTTGGTTCTGGACGCTGAGCGCAGTGGGTAAGTGCACTCTGGCTGCTCTTGCAGAGGACCTGGCTTTGGTTCTCAGCACCCACATGGTGGCTCACAACCACTTGTAACTGCAGTTCCGGGATCTGACACCTTCTTCTGCTCCAGGCTTCTTCTGGAGCACAGGCAGACACACAGAAAACACTCATACGCATAAAATTAAAATAAACAGATAAATACTGAGGAACAAAACGGGAATGTGTGGTACGTGGGGTGGTGGTGTACCCCATTAGTCCCAGCGCTCAGGGGGATCTCTATGAGCTGCAGGCCAGCCTGATCTCCTGATCTTCATGAGATCCTGTCTCAAAATAACAAAACTAAATAATTACACGGTTGTGGAGACCGGCATCAGCCCCAGACTCAGCCCCACACTTACTTCTTTTCTTTCCTTTTTAGGACAGGGTTTCTCTGTGTAGCCCTGGCTGTCCTGGAACTGGCTCTGTAGACCAGGTTGACCTGAAACTCAGGAAGACCCACCTGCCTCTGCCTCCTGAGTGCTGGGGTTTAAGGCATGCGCCACCACCGCCTGGCACCTGGCCTTGCAAGGCTGGTGAAAGAAGGCCTGAATTTTGGAATCAGCAAGGCTGTATAACCAGATGGTGTCTCAAAATAAAACAATCAGACAGGGAGTGTGCATCGGCCTCGCAAGTGTGAGAGCAAGGAGGGAGGGAAGGATGGTTCTGGACGCTGAGGAAGAAGCCCCTTGAAGGCATAGCCCCAGTCCCTGGGGAAGGCCCTGACTAGCATCCGGGGGGGGGGGCGGCTGGTGGGGACAACACAGGCCTAAGTGAGCATTGTCCCTCAGCACAGACGTCATTCAAGGTAAACAATGTCAAAAACTTCCCCCGGTTCTCAGCTGAGACCGGACAGTCCTGGGCGGGCAGCCCAGCCCCTGCGTGAGACTGATGAGTCCTCAGTCCCCTCCTCTGAAAAGTGGACATCAGGATAGAGATTGCCCAGCCAAGAAGGATGGGGTGGGAGGGTACCCTGGAGGGGGAGGGGTCTACTCGTCTGTCTCTTTTCATCGTGTTCAATATTTTCTTTACTCTCCTACTTTCCTTCTTTCAAAAAAGTATTGATTATGTAGTCCCCCTGCCTCAGCCTTCCAAGTTCTGGGTTCATAGCTTGTGCCATGAAAGCTGACTTTTCACTGTCCCACCTTTTCACAGGATGATCTAGGGCCAGAGGCCAACCCATACATTAGACACCACCTCCAAAACACACCACAGCTCAGCAGTAAGGCTGCTGCTCCTTCAGAGGACCAGACACCAGGGCCCTCACACACACAGAGATGAGATAAAAAGGCTGATGTGGTGTGAGCCAGCAGGATATGCTAAAGACGTGGAGGTAGAAGGTTGAGTTTGAGGCCAGCCTGGGCTACACATTGGGGCAGGTGATGTGTTACACACCTTTAATCCCAGCACTTAGGAGGCGGAGGCAGGTGGATCTCTGTGAATTCGAGCCTGATCTACAGGGTGAGTTCCAGGATAGCCAGAGCTACACAGAGAAACCCTGGGCTGCTGACACATTAAGGTGGTGTGGGTGTTGGGCCAGATGCCCTAGGCATGCTCCAAGGACAGCCCTGGTCCCTGTCTCTGACTGTGGACATCACTTTACAGTTCCCATCTGACGATCTTCACCTTGCCTCATGCTGTGACCCCAGGCTTCCCAGTGTGCACCACACAGGCTCCCATGACTACATGGAGTGCGCCTATGCCACAGCTGGAGTCCACCCTCTCCTCCTGCTGTGTGGTCCTGGGGATGGAACTTGGGCTGTCAGGCTTAGCAGCAAGCTCCTCTACCCACTGACCTGTCACCAACCCAGCTTCCACTCTGCGAGGCGCTGGGGCAGGGAGAGAGCTCCATGAAACCTTGCTGTGGGGCAGAAGGACCTGAATTCAATCCCGGAACACAGGTTAAAAAGCTGTGTGTGGGCAGGGCGGTGGTGGCGCATGCCTTTAACCCAAGCACTGGGAGGCAGAGGCAGGTGTATCTCTGTGAGTTTGTGGTCAGCCTGGTCTACAGAGTGAGTTCCAGGACAGCCAGAGATACACAGAGAAACCTTGTCTCAAAACAACAACAAAATCAAAACAAAACAAAAGAAAGAAAGAGAGAAAGGAAGGAAGAAAAAGAAAAGGCTACCACATGTGGTGGATGGGCACACTTGTACAGGACTGGGGGGTGGAGTCCCCCAGGTCAGCCAGGCCAGTTTGAAACCCTGGGTCAGAAACCATGGTGGCTAGGTATGGTGACACATGACTTTAATTTCATCACTCCGGACCAGATCTGTGAGTTCCAGGCCAGTCTGCCCAATATAGAGGCCCTGTCTCAAGAGAAAGACGAAAACCATGGTGGCTGGGCTGGCAAGATGGTGGAGCGGTGAAGTCCATCCCCAGGACCCATGCTCATCCACACACAGATAAATGAACGGGGAAGAATCACAATGGGTGACGATGAGAAATGGTAGCCAGGGTTGGGCTCCAGTTTGCACGTTCAGACACGCACAGGGTACACAGGGTACAGAGTACACGAAGGCACTCAGGGTATGCCTCATGGTCTCTATCCACAGACCTTCTCCGCCCAGCCCAGCTGCCCAGGACACCAGGCCCTTTGCTTTCCTTCCTCCAGCTCACAGTCCAAAGTCCTGCATTGATATACCTGCCATGCCCTAGTATACAGCAGGCACTCCATTATGCCCTGGTATACCTGCCATCCCTCCATTATAGAGGCAGAAAGTGTGAATTCTGCCTCCCTCTTTATCCATGGTTCTGGGATGGATCTCAGCGGGTGGGTATCTCACCTGGGTGGGACTGCGGGGTTGACCATTGGGAGACGCTGGGACTCCAGGATCTTTTTCTTGAAGTCCTCCAGACTAGCAGGATCTGCAGGAAAAATGAGGGTTCGTGTGAGCAGCCTCGGAGAGGAGAGATGGGGTGGGGAGCCAGGTGTCCCGTTTCCTGACCCTTCTGGTTGTCACTCACCTATAGGCGGAGGGTTTGGGGGTGGGCTGAAGAGTCTTGGCGGGGTGGCTGGCTGTGACTGGAGAAAGAGAAGGAGAGGTTGGAGGAGTTGGTGCCCTCTGTGCCCTGCAAATGCCTAAGCAACCTAGTTGGGTGGGTTTTTTTTTTTTTTTTTTTTTTTTGGTGATGGTTTGTGTTTTGAGACAGTCTCTCTGTGTAGTCCTGGCTGTCCTTGAACTCACTATTTAGAACAGGCTGGCCTCGAAGTCATAGAGGTCCTTCTGCTTGTGAATGCTGAGTGTTGGGATTAGAGACCATGCTTGGCTCAAGGAACCTAGATCTTAACCCAGACCATCCTGAGGCATCACGGAGGAGCTTAACTTAGGCGGGAAATCGAGGCCACCACAAGGCTGACATCACCTGCAACCCTCAGCGAACCTCTGATCCTTCAGTTGGACTCAACTCCACTCCAAACCCGGTTCCCACCATCTGGCCAGAGCTAAATTCACCTGGCCCTAACCCTGACCCAGCTTCCTTCCTTCAGTGGCATTCTCCGTCCTCAGCTCCCACCCACTCCCAGTTTGACCCTTCCAGGATCCCACTGTTCCCAGGGCTCTCATCTCCACCCAGCCGACCAGACCCACCTTGGCCTTGACACAGGTGTCCAGCGCGCTGATGCGCACGTCCACTTCGGTGCGCAGCTGCTCCAGCTGGCGCTTGCGCGCCTCCAGCTCACGCTCCAGGCCTTCCTTCTGCGAGCGCAGCGATGCTTTCTCCTCCAGCGCCAGCTGCGTCTGGCGCGCGCACTCCGCCCGCAGCTGGCTCTCGCGTGCCTTCGCCTCCGTCTCGACACGCGCCCGCGCCTCCTGCGTGCTCTGAGCCCCGCGCTCCACCTCCAGCTTCTGCCGCCGCAACTCCGCGTTCTCGCGGGTCACGCGCTCGATGCTCATGCGCAGCCCGCGCGCCATCTCATCCACCTTGTTGCTCAAGAGAGTGGGCAGGTGCTCGCACATCCGGCGGAGGGACACGATCTCGGGTGCCAACGAAGGGTAGTGGTAGCTCAGGCCATCCAGGGATCGCGGGATCAACGAGTCCCGCCAGATACTCAGCGCATCCGCATGGAGCTTGTCGTGATCCAGCGGGAGGCACATGGACTGCACCTTGCGCAGCTGCTCCTCGATCACCTGCTGCTCCTGCTGCTGCCGCTCCCGCGCTTTGCCACAGGCCGACAGCTGCTCCTCCGCACGCTGCTTTTCCGCCAGCAGGCTCTCCTTGTTCTTGGCGCACACTGCCTTCTCCTTGACCACCTCCATCTCCAACGTCTTTGCCTTCTCGCCCAGCTTGAAGAGCAAGGCTGCGGGGCGGGGGCGAGAGGAGGTGAGCCCAGGCTGGCCCCTAAGCTTTGAGGTTGTCGTCGTCCCCTACTCCCCACCCACCCGCCAGGACCCGCATTTACCTTCGCAGGTCTTGTTGTTCTCCTTCACCTGTTCCCAGCACTGCTTCTCGCTCAGGATGATGGCGGCCATGAACCGGTGGTAGTTTACGTAGGTGGCCTGCAGGTGTGGGCATACAACACGGCTGAGCACCCATCTCCAGGGCCACACACGCAGTAGCCCCCTCCACACCCTTAGAGGGTTGGAGGTCTGGGTGACCTCCAAAAGTTTGACTAGAGCTGGGCTGGAGCTCCTTCATTGGTTGAGTGCTTGGAGCCCGTTCAGTTGGTGAGGGACTTGCAGAAAGCCCCAAGTTCAAACCCCAGACTCATGCACCAGGTGTGACACCTCTTACCTGTAACCTCAGGATGAAGTAAGACAACCCCCAGGAGTTAGAGGCCAGCCTGGATCACAGAGAAAGGCGGTCTTGTTTGTTGTTTGTTTGTTTGAGATGGGGTCTGGAGTTTTGGCTGCCCTGGAACTCCCTGTATGAACCAGGCTGGCCTCCCACTCTCAGAGGTCCTCCAGCCTGTGCTTCCTAAGTGCTAGGGTTAAAACACAGAGGCTGGGCTGGAGAGATGGCTCAGTGGTTAAGAGCATTGCCTGCTCTTCCAAAGGTCCTGAGTTCAATTCCCAGCAACCACATGGTGGCTCACAACCATCTGTAAAGAGGTCTGGCGCCCTCTTCTGGCCTTCAGGCATACAGACAGAATATTGTATACATAATAAATAAATTAAAAAAAATAAAACACAGAGGCTGAGATTGGGGCTCTGTGTTTTGTGCCCATTACCACAGAAGCAAAATGTGGTTTGTGACTGTCGCCTGTCAGTCCACACAGGAGGGAACTCTAAATTCAAGGTCATCTTGGGTGACATAGTCAGAGATGAGGCACAAGGGGCAGAGGAAGAGGAAGCATGGCCGAAAAATCACATTTCTTTGTCCTTTGGGGAAGGGAGACAAGACAGACACCAGTAAGGTGCATTTCGGGTGGCCACTGGGCTCCTGGCCACCATAGGGAAGGCAGCTTGCCAAGGAACTGCAGTGTCCTGAGTCAGGAGGTCATGTAGCCCAGGCTGGAAAGTCTAAAAATGTAGAATCAGGGCTGGGGTATGACAAGGTGACAGTGCTCACTTAGCATTGAGGAGCCTCTGGGAAAAGTAAAGCCCAGAAGCCTGGACCTTGTGTTCTCCAGTGAGGGAGTGTGGGGTGCCAGGTGGGTGTTGGCAATGATCCTGACCCTGGGTGGCAAGTGGCTAGGGGACTGTGCACCCTGTCAGACTGGTCTCAAGGAGGAGACTACTATCCTGGGCCACACTAGGACCCTGTCCTCTCCAGGAGAATCCTTGCTTTACCCCTAATTTGGCGGCTGCCAGCACCCCTGTTATTGGGCCAGAAGCTGCCTGAGGCTGCAGCGTCCTGGTCTCACTGTGGTGTGGGGAGGTGTTGGGTGAACATGGTCAGCAGTGCCTGACACTCTGGGGTCTGTGTGGGGACTGCTGTCTCCAGGATCTCAGGTCTGTGACAGGCACAGGACGCAATGGCTTCAGCCCCACCTGGGAAAGGGCCTAAAACACCCTCTCTCTTTTCTCTCTCTCTCCTCTCTCATTCTTCTCCCTCCCCCCCCCAATGTCTCTCAGTGTGAGACTCGGTGTCTCTGTGAGGGTATTTTATTGATTACTAATTAATGTACATATGTGTTGTCATACCTGGGCAGGTACGCCCGAGTGGTAGAAGGAAGAGAGTTGGATGAGAGTCTGGGACCGAGTCAGTAAGCAGCATTCCTGCATGGTCTCCACTCTACCTAGTGTCCTGACTTCCCTCAGTGATGGAGTGTGCCTAACCTGGAAGCCAAATGAACTGTTTTCGCTCTGAATTGCCTCAAGGTGTCACAGCGACCTAACCCAAAGAGGATGTCACCGAGGCTTCCTTACCAGGTTTGCTCAGTGGCAATTTCACTGTCAGCTTGTGTTAAAGCAAAAATGGTAAGAGAAAACCATGGTAGAAAAGTCTTGCCCCAAGGCAGCCAGCAAGCAGACAGGGTAAGATGGGGTCCTAGGGTGGGACACAAGGTCCCACCAGGACCTCCTGACTAGCTCACTCCCCTATGATCTGGTCACCTCTCAGAGGCCCAACAGCAGGCCTTTCACACAGAAACCTTTTAGAATCGAACTGAAACAATGTCCAATACCTCAGAGAAGAAGGAGATCGATAGGTAAGAACCAAGGTTAAAAAAGAAAGAATCATTTTGTTAAGCCTTTCCCTACTGTAGTGAGGTTAGACATACTCTACTTGGTTAAGAGATCGTTCATTTTAGAGGTGGAAAACTGAGTATGTGTTGGGGGGCAAACACGTGAGAAGGGAATCCTGGTCCTGTCATTTAAATCAGTCCACAGGTCTGCAGTTCCCTGGAAGCTCTTTTCAGAGGACAGAGTTGCTTCACCGATGAGAAAGGAAGAGTTTAAGAGGAGTAGGGGGAAGATAATTAGGTGAGCACACATCCTTATACATTTTATTCTCAAATTATGGAATTACATTCTCCCTCCCTCTGTCTCTCTCAGTGTTTGTCTCTCTCCCTCAGTGTTCTCAGTGTCCCCCCATCTCTCTTTCCCCCCTCCCTCCCTCCCTCCTTCTGTCTCCCTCAGTGTTTCTCTCCCCCAGTCTCTCTTTCCCCCTTCCTCCCTCCCTCCCTCCCTCCCTCCCTCCCTCTCTCCCTCCCTCCCTCCCTCCTTCTGTCTCCCTCCCCCTCCCTCTGTCTCTCTCAGTGTTTGTCTCTCTCCCTCAGTGTTTCTCCCCCCACTGTCTCTCTTTCCCCCTCCCCCCCCCTCCCTCCCTCCCTCCCTCCCTCCCTCCCTTCCTCTGTCTCTCTTTCTCCCTCCCTCCCCCCTCTGTCTCTCTCAGTGTTTGTCTCTCTCCCTCAGTGTTTCTCTCCCCCAGTCTCTCTTTCCCCCTTCCTCCCTCCCTCCCTCCCTCCCTCCCTCTCTCCCTCCCTCCCTCCCTCCTTCTGTCTCCCTCCCCCCTCTGTCTCTCTCAGTGTTTGTCTCTCTCCCTCAGTGTTTCTCCCCCCACTGTCTCTCTTTCCCCCTCCCTCCCTCTGTCTCTCAGTGCCCCCCCACCCCGGTGTATCTTATGTAGTCTATGTAGTCTAGGCTGTCTGGAGCTCCTGCTGCTCCAGCTCCTAGGCAGTAAGGTGACAAGTGTGTGCTACCACGCCCCAGGATGGCATTCCTTTTGGTTGTGTGCTGGGTGCTGGGTGCTGGGGATGGAACAGGGCCTCATGCATGCTGGGCAAGAGCCGAGCTCTGAGCCATGCCTGGGCTCAGTTCGTCAGGGTCACACTGAGGAAGAATCCATTTCCCCATCTCTGTGAAGCTGCCGTGAGCAGGACCCCAGCCAAACCCCAACTGCAGTCGACAATGCTGGGGTCTACACCTGCTCCCACCCCGCTTTCACCCAGAAAGTTTCCTGAGAGGGTATTCTGCCTCTGGAGTGGACGGGCCTAGCCATGAAATTATGAATTCCAGAGAGTAGGGTATAGTGGCCTTAATCCCAGTACTCAGGAGGCAGAGACAGGTGGTTCTCTGTGAGTTCAAGGCCAGCCTGCTCTATACAATGAGTTCCAGAGTGGTCAGGCCTTCAAGGTGGCTCAGCAGTAAAGACAGCTCAGCTGAGAACCTGAGCTGAATCTCTGGGGCCCACACGGTGGAAGGGCATCTTCTGACCTCCACACACGGACATGGCGGGTGGGCAAACATACATGTGGAATAAGTAAACCTAACTTTAAAAATCGTGCTGCGGGCAGCAGACCCTTTCTGGCAGGCGATCACACTGTTAAAGAATCTCACCAGCCCGTGAGGCACCACTGTCACCCCAGCACTCAGGAGACTAAGGCAGAGGAATTGCCGTGAGATCTAAACAAGTCTGGGGGGCTCTATAGTGAGGCCCTATCTGGGGCTGGGGTTAAGGAGAGAGAAAGGCTGTCGCTCTCTGGTGTAGCACGTACTACATGAACCAGGCGTGGCGACACCGACACCGGCCTGTAATCCCAAAGGCAGGAGGGTCAGGAGCTCAAGGACATCCTTTGCTACACAGCAAGTTCTAGAACAGCCTGAACTACATAAGACTACGTTGGAAACAAAGAACGGGAGGACTAGCTACGTTTTCTCGGGTGCAGTTTAGAATTTGGGGGCACCCGGTGCTGCGGCCCAGGGCACACAGGCCGCCTCTTACCTGGTCGCCTTGGCACTGGCGGAAGCTGGCGTTGAGGCGCTCCAGCTCGCGCCTGGCACTCAGCAGCATCTGCATGACCGTTTCCTTGGCGTGCAAGCTGATGTTCAGCTGTTTGGTCAGGTTAGCCTTCACGGCCGACAGCTCCACCACCTGGCTGTACAGACTGTCAGCGCGCATCTCGGTGGCCTTCAGGCTGGCCTCCGTGGTGGCGTGCACGTTGCCGTAGATCATGAAGAGGACGAGGCCCAGGATGATGAGGAACTGGATGAGTGACACAAAGAGGAAGAAATAGCGCAGGTAGTACCAGCAGCCACGAGCCGCGTCCCCCGTGCGGGAGTACGGGCTGCGATCCATGGCAAGCCCCATTTGCGCAGCGTCAGTCGGACAGGCTCACTGTCCCTCGCCTGCCTGGCCAGATTTGGGCTGCGCCAAGCAGGGGGAGTGTTTATATTACTTCTCTTAATACTTCCTCTGCCAGGCTCCTTCCTGGCCAGGAGGAAATGGGGGCTGTGGGTTATCACAACAGTCCCACCCTGGCTGTTGAGGACTAATAGTCTAGGCAGAGGTGATAGATGGAGGGGTGCGGCTCCTGCTGGGTGGCTAGACTGGCCTCCTCCGCCTGGCCCGGCCTCAGTTTCCACCAACAACACCCCAAATTAGGTCGGCCAGGCGATCGACTCTGCACTTGGGACTATTTCTCAGTCATAGCCCGTGCTTAGGCCCATTATGTGGGAGGGGAAGCTGAGGCACAGCTGTGACAAGAGACTGGCCCTGTGGCCCAGTCGTTACTCTGTGGCAGGCTGGGTTCAAACATGCCCAGGTCACCAAGGTGCCCCCTGTCAACAGTCAACCCTGGGGCAGCTCTCAGGCACCCCCACACCAGGAGTTTGGGACCCAAGGCAAAGGATGCGGGAGTGAGTTCCCACCCAGGAGCCCCGGGGACGGTTTCCATTATGGGCAACAGTAGGTGCTCAATTATTACACAGAGGAGCCTCACAGAGGCCTGATTTTTGGTGGACAGTGGTACCACCTCCCACAAATACTCGGCCAGCACGCACACATAGGTGTCCCCAGAGTGCTCTAGGATTAGGGCCTGGTTCAGCATTAGAACTCCTGCCTAGACTTCCACATGGAGGGGCTGGGGCGTGGCTCAGAGCTGGAGCCCCTGCCTAGACTCCCCCCAACACTCCAAAAATATCTGTGGGATCCGAAGTAGGAGAGCAGGATCTTGGAGTGGGGAAAGGGAAGAAAGGCTTCTGTGAACTCTGACAAGGGTTGCTCCAATCTGTGCCTCAGTTTCCCCCTCTCTGACTAGAGTATTCTTAGTTTCTGGCCTGCTGTGATTTCAGGGTCCCAGGAGGTGGCAGGGAGCCTTGTTGGTAGATGGGGTTCCATGAGGAGGGTCTAGGGTCTCTGTGGAACAACTCCCAGGCAAAGATGTGAGAATTCAGGGTCACAGAGAAAAGGACTTTGAGGGTGGCCCCCAAAGCTCTGGGAGAGTTTTCTGAAATCTTTACCTGCTAACCCCACTGTCCTGTCCCTGCCTCCGGGCAGCCCTAACCTGTTGGGGCAAGGGCAGGAGCTGGCTAGGTGGTAGCTGTGGGGTCCAGAAGCCTGGGAAGGAGTGGGATGGGGAAGGAGCTGGGCAGGCGGGTGTGGGGTTGGGAAGGAGGAAGTTCCCAGGGGTAGACAGGAAACCCTATGTGACCTTTGGCCTTTGCAGCCACCTGGTAATTCCTGGTTCTTCCTGGCCAGCCATGGGGGTGGGGCAGTGGTACTGGGGGCTGCAGCTGGGGCCCAACCACCCATGGCTCCAGGTTGGCCAGGCAGACAGGGGCCACAGTTTTATGTCAAGTTGGGGTCTGGCACACCACCTGGCTGTCATGTGACCCCAGAAAACTTACTTCCTCCCCTGAAATTCTGCTTTTATCCTGTTTACAGATGGCAGTTTTTTGCTCCCTTTAAGAGGGGGTCTCATGTAGCCTAGGCTGACCTCCAAGCGGTTTTGTAGCTCAGGATGGCCTGAAACTCCTGATTCTTCTGCCTCCAGCTTCCAGGAGCTGGGAGGACGGGTGTGCACATGGAACTCAGGGCCTTGTCCACGCTAACCGAGCACACTCCCAACTGATCACTATTGTCTATGGTGTGTCTCGGGTGCCCCAGTCAGCGTGAATACTGAGGACAAGTCTGTGCGGTCAGTTCTCTGCTTCCACCTTTTTGCAGGTTCTTCATTCACAAAGCCATCTTCCCAGCACCCCACATAGCTCCCAAGGCTTTCCTACAGGGCCAGATGCACATTCAGCTGGAGGGTGCCGCATCAGTTCAGAGGACCTGGGTTCGAATCCCAACACCCATACAATGGCTCATAGCCGTCTGAACCTCTTGTTCCCAGAGATCTGATGTCTATCTCTGACCTCTGAGGGTACCATGCACACATGTGTACACAATCATACATGCAGGCAAAATACCCAGACACATGAAATCAAATGATTAGATTTTCATAATCACTAAGCGGTGGGACTTCTGTAGGCAGTGAAGAGTGAAACTCTCACCATGTGGCTTCTGGCTGTCACATGATGCCAGGCTGAGAGGCAGTGGGGGGCACTGTCCCTAAGCCCAGAGGACAGGGACAACAATGGGTGGGATGTGTGTAACAAGGATCCTGAGAGCACTCAGGCTCAGTTCAAGAAGAGTTCCCAGTGTCGTGGGATGTGCGGGAGCTGTTGTGTGTCAGCTGAGGTGGCTCCGTGGGAAAGGTGCCTGCTGCCCAGCCTGACAGTGTGCGTTTGACTCCCAGGACCGTGTCTCCGACTCCAGACGGGTGCTGGGGCATGTGTGAGCACCCACCATACACAAATAAACACATAAATGTGTTAAATATAGTCGTGCGTGGCAGTGGTGGAGCACACCTTTGATCCCAAGTGCTGAGATTAAAGGCGTGCGCCACCACCGCCCGGCTCCCAACTTCATTTCTATCAAGTTCAAAATGTTATTTTCCTTCCACATTGATAATCCAGTCTCACAGTTTTGATTCATTTTTGAAGCAAGTTTTCATGTAGCCCAGGCTACCATAGGTGTTAGGGTCCGAGAGAAGCCCCCAAGAAAAGACCAACTGTCACCTGTGCAATAACAAGAGCTCTTTATTAGCTCCAACCTTGCAGTGGCGCATGGCGGCCTGAGAGAAACCCACAGTCTCCTTTAACCCCTTTTAAACCGGGCTAGGGGAATTCCAGGGAGGAGAGATTAGTCTGGGGCTGATTAATTGATGGTTTTAGACAGTTTGGGAGTTGTTATAGGATTGGTTGGTGGCCCAGAGAAATTGTCTCTAGTTCTCTTAAACTTGCACAACCTGTGGGGCACCCTCAGATTGGTTGCCCCGGGGTTGTGGCTTTCCCAGGAACTGCTCAGTTCCAGCCGGTCCCATGAAACTGAAACCAAGGCCTGGTCCCTGGCAGGGTCCGTTAGAAACCTGTCATGGCTCTGGTCTGGCTCCCTGGCCCTCTCAAAAGAGACTACTGCAGTAACAGGTGTGTGTGTGTGTGTGTGTGCGCGCGCGCGCACACATCCAATGCTCTCAGAGGCTGGAAGGTACATCAGATCCTCCAGTGCTGGGGACTGTACCCTGGGTCCTCTGTGAGAACAGCCAGTTCTCTTAATTGCTGAGCCATCTCACCAGCCCCTCCTTAGATTGTTTGTTTGTTTGATTGATTGATTGATTGATTGATTTTTCAAGACAGGATTTTTCTGTGTAGCCCTGTCTGTCCTGGAACTAGCTCTGCAGACCAGGCTGGTCTCTAACTCTCTGAGATCCACCTGCCTCTGTCTCCCCAGTGCTGGGATTAAAGGTGTACACCAGCACCGCCTAGCAATATTTATTCCTTTAGGTAGGAAAAAACAATAAATATTTAAATTTATTTATTTATTTATTTGGTTTTTCGAGACAGGGTTTCTCTATAGCTTTGGAGCCTGTCCTGGAACTATCTCTTATAGACCAGGCTGGCCTCAAACTCAAAGAGATCCACCTGCCTCTGCTTCCCGAGTGCTGGGATTAAAGGTGTGCGCACCACCGCCCAGAAATATTTAAATTTATTAATGATATTAAATATTAAATTTATTAATTTTAAATATTTTTGCTTTAAGATTCTTTTTCTTTTGTGTCTGTTTTAAAAACCCCAACGCTTCCATTTCCTTACTTAGTGTGTGGAGCTCAGAGGACGACCTTCAGAACTGAGTCTCTGCTTCCTGAGGGTCCTGAGGCCTGAACTCAAGTCATCCTGGGGCTGGTGGTGGAAGCCCAGACTCCACTGCCACTCAGCTGCCCTGCCTGCCTCCCAGGTCCACGGAGCCTTTTGCCTTTCTGTGTGGGTTCCCAGCCTTGTGGCAGTCATGGCTCTTGGCAGCACCTCCTTTACTTCCTTCAGTGGGGAAAATCCTATAAGCCAATCTGTCCAGTCAACCCCCTGTCTCTCACTGACACAGCTGCCACCAGAGTGTCCCTGGTGATTCCAGCAGAACTGTATAAATGCAGCCCTTCTGCCTGCGGCCCTGGCCAGGTTGTCCCTAAGGGAGGGAAGATACCCTGCCAGGTCAGCCTCATTCCCTGGGGGCACTGACTGCTCTGTGATTTTCCGGAGAACAATTTGTCATGGTCACAGGAAACTTTGCTTATGCTGTGTCCTGGTCCCTCGGCTGCTGGGCTCAGGATCCTCACGGATGCTCCCCACCCCCTCTTTCTCTCTAAATGGAAAACAATCAATTCAGCCTGAGTTGTTTGTTTAGGTGGGAACCTTTTGAAGGAAGTCGGCACTTGCCACAGCTAAACAGCTCAGTCTTCCTGGAGACAGGAGGTTGAAAAAGGTTTTATCTTGGTTAGAAAAAAATTACTGTTTGTTTTTTGTTTTAGTGTTCTGAGACAGGGTGTTACTATGTACTCCAGGTAGTCTGGTTGTTCTGAGAGAGGGTGTTACTATGTACTCCAGGTAGTCTGATTGTTCTGAGACAGGGTGTTACTATGTACTCCAGGTAGTCTGATTGTTCTGAGACAGGGTGTTACTATGTACTCCAGGTAGTCTGATTGTTCTGAGACAGGGTGTTACTGTGTACTCCAGGTAGTCTGAGGCTACTTGAAGATTAGCCTCGAACTCACAGCAATCCTCCTGCCTCAGTTTCCAGAGTGCTGGGTGACAGAAGTGTGCCACCTGGGAGGTTATAAAGGAAGAAATGGCTTTTTCCTTACATTTTTATTTTATTTTATTTTTTTTAAGATAGCCCTGGCTAGCCTTGTAACTCTTTTTTTTTTGGATTTTTTTTAAATAGATTTATTTATTTATTATGTATACAACATTCTGCCTTGATGTATGCCCACACGCCAGAGGAGGGCGCCAGATCTCAGTACAGATGGTTGTGAGCCACCATGTGGTTGCTGGGAAT